ACTTGGGCTCATCGAGCTCCATCTTCCGGCGAGACAGCTTCTTCGCCACAATTGCCCACATTGCAGTAAGTCTTTCCCAAGATCGGCCAACCTGAACAGACATCTGCGCACGCACACAGGAGAGCAACCATACCGATGCGCATATTGTGACAGGGGATTTAGTATTAGCTCTAATATGCAACGCCATGTACGCAACATTCACCAACAGGAGCGCCCATTCGCCTGTCAACTGTGTGAACGCCGATTTGCCCAACGCACCAACCTAGACCGCCATATGCGCCACCATCGCAACCAGACACTAGCCGGGGTTTGTTCCCTCTCGATGGCGTGCCGAGCCGCATCCCAACTAAGCTCAACGACAGCTCTGTCACCGCCTGTACGGCCTCCACCACCTCCACCTCAACTGAAATCATCTATTTCTGGTTTATCAACTGATAGAGAAGAGGTGGATTTCAGGACCGGAGAGTTGAAAGGCACTCAGCCACAGGTTTTGGTGCCAACAAGCAGCCGAAGAAAGAGGCGCAGAAGTGGAGCCGGACGGTTGGAAAAGTCATCAGATTTGGTGCATACAGAAAAAATAGATGAAACGGGTGTAGGAGTCGGCCAACTAGAAGAAACTGACGAAGAGGAAGAAGATGAGGGGGAGGAAAAAGTCGAAAAGGAGGAGGTGGAAGAAGGGGAGGATGGGGATGGGGACGGAGCAAAGGAAGGACTGGAGAGAAATAGTACTAATTTGCTCACAGCCTATTTTATGATGGCAAATTCTGGCTTCCACTGTAATCGAGACGAAAATAGATCCAGCCTCTTAAGATGGCCTGATGGAAATAATTCAAATAAGCAAGAGACAGATTTGGGATAGAAACTAAATTGGGCCAATGTAAGAATGAACTAAGTGTGAAGTCTACAATGCCATAATGTACGAGAAGAGAAAATGGGCATCACAGTGATAAGCACCAAAGACAAGACAATTTGAAGGAAGCGAACCAATGCATACCTTTGTATAAACTCGATCCAAATTTGTGTACCTAATCATATTATGCAAAATTTTAAGCTTTTTTTTGTAATTACTACCTAAGGTTGCCAATTTTGGGTTTCATTCCAGCCATACTTCCTATTATGCTTCATAGCTCGGGTCAAAGCTTGTTCCGATTTGTTAGCCAGTATAAGAAGTCTCAATACCGATGTAAGCAATAATGATCGCATTTGCTGCAATTAAATAAATAGACCTCGCAATGCCACTGAAATACATAT